TTTTTCTGTTGAATGTGTATTTTGTTGAATTTTAGTATATGGTGGTTTTTGAAATCACTGAAGTCAAAATTAAAAAAAAATCAAAATGACAAAATAATATGGTGGCCAAATTAAGAAAAATTTAACTATACTTTTTTTACGTATAAAATTAAAGTGATTGAAGTTCTTGAATCCCCGCGATATACCGAAAAAATAAATCAGTAGTTGGAAGTGAAAGAAGTATTTATTGTAATTAAATTCTGATTTCAAAAATTTATATCTGAATTTACGTTCGTTTCATTCAATGCTTCACTCGCTCTTTCGAACAATACACAATCTAGCTATTTGCTATTTTTGTTATCTCCCGTATTGTTTTTTTACCGTTTTTTTTGGGCTTTAATCATTTCTAAATTCATTAATTTACCTCATCTGTACATATACGTAAAGTTTTATTAAAATCAAAATTTAACTTGTCATTTTAATTGCTATATTGGATCTGCTACTTAAAATTTGTTAATTTTGAATAGGAATTTTAAATCAGCGACCTCAAAGATTATTACAGAGAGTTTTAAGACATGTACATTATCATTTTCTCTCCATCTTTTGTAAAAAAAAAAGATGTTAGTTTCGACTGGTCTTTTGCTTATAATTTATTGTCAATGCAAATAATATTTATTGTTAGTACGTTAGTATACATTTGTGTTATGTATACATGTGAATCTTAGGAACATAATGACACTAAGGTTGCGTTCGAGGAGCGCGTCATCAGCGCTGTTGGCGTCATTCTTTCTTATGTTTAACGAACGAAATAAATAAAATGACATAATAACGCTGACAGCGCGACTGATTTCCCGAATACGCAGTTCACGTATATTACACGAAGAATAACCAGTAACTAAACCAAATTGTGAAATTAATCAAAATGATAAAAAAAGAATGAAGGATTCCAAAACGTACTCTCGGTACACCTGGTCCCGGTCCATCCCGACGGGCATCGACAGTGGCCGTCGTTCGATCTGCATTTACCGCCGTTCTGACACTTGCAATGCTGCGTGCAATTCACGCCGTACGTACCCTCCGTGCAGGGCGTTTGACAGTACTCGCCTTGCCAGCCAGGTCGGCACTGGCATACACCTGATTAGGAAATACATCTCGATGTGACAAAAGAATCATTCGAGTATTCAAATGTTTGCACATTTCAAGAACACTCGCTTACCTGTTACGTGATGACATTCCCCGCCGTTTTTACAGTGGCAGTGATTCGCGCAGTTTAGCCCGTAACGATTGGGCGGGCACGGATGTTCGCAGGTGAGACCCAGGTATCCCGGACGGCAGACGTACTCGCCGGTGACGTGATCGCAGGTCATATTTCCTGAGGGAAGAAATGACAAATGCTGAAGAATTTTTTTGTCATAATAACATAGACGAATTCTTTCTATTAAAAAAAAATTATCTTTATCACTATGTTAATTTTTTACGATACCGTTTTGTACTACATATAAAAATTCGTTGCAATATTATTATCCCTTTCACCAATTGTTATCCCGTTCACTTGAACCAAATGTATAAATAAACCAGCAATTAATACAAGTACTTGGCGAAGTGCTCGATAAAATGATAAAAGCGATTGGTGACAAAGAGCGAAAATGAAGTGTTATATCTACCGTTTGCGTCAGCGTTTGCGTAAGCGGCGATCAAACTATTTCTTAACTTCGAATCAGCTGTACCGCGAAGTACGCAAGAGAGACTCCACATCCAAGCGTGTTATCTACATCGGACGTTACAATGCCACCACAAGCAGGCCCATCAAAAGATCTTATAATTTTATCCAATTTCTCCTCTTTTATTTATAATTTCCCGATTGTAACATATACCGAAATGTGTATCACGACAAATGATTAAATTTAAATTTAACTTACATGAATATATCGTTCCGTGAGAGAAATCGACCGAGCGTTTAGATTTATGCATTGTGAAACTGGGAGATTATTAAAATATATAATTATGAGAAAAAGAATTACATAAATTGCATTCAGGATTACATTGTTAAACAATAACGCAATCTGTCTACAAGGTACAACAACTATCTTTACATTGTCTACGAAACACAATGAATCTGTCCAAAAAAAAAATCCATGCGAGAATTTAGTGTGTTACGACACGCTCAAACGATCGTCATGCGTCTACATCATGGATATTTAGAGGCTTCTTTACCGTTCATCTTCTTCGGGCACCTCTCCCTGCATCCCAGCCCGTACCATCCTTCCTTGCAGGGCTGCGAGCAATTGGGGCCCTCCCAACCCCTGGCGCAGACGCAACTTCCGGTCGTGGGATCACACGAACTATTGTTCATGCATTCGCAATGCGAGTGACAATCCTCGCCGTAAAGACCCTCCGGGCACTTTGTTTCGCATCGTATTCCTGTTTTGACGTTAAAGCAAAAACCCGTCTCGAGAAACGACGTCTCTTCGCTTGAACTGCCATTAATAGCAGACGTTTTTTTTTACGCTTCTTTTACCGTTTCTTCTTACTCTTTATATCGCTATTGTTAGATACCGACAATGTATGCGATGCAGAAATTATACGTCTGTAATAATCTTTTTCACGATCGCGCTTGTAACAATAAATAATTTTGTTTTTCTTGGCTCAACAATGGACTTCGAGATTATCTCGGCGTGCAAAGTTTACGAATCGATCGAGAACGCGGGAATAGATTCAACAAACCTCGCCATTCTGGCTTGCAGACGCAATACCCGGTAGCGGAGTTGCATTCCACGGTGTTTTCGTCGACACAGTCGCAAGTCTGATTGCATCCATGTCCGAAGAAGCCCTTTTTACAACGCTCCTGACACAGCTCGCCGGTGAAACCAGCCGCACACGTGCACGTGCCTGCGTGTTTATGTGTGTGTGTGTATAGATAAAATAAAACGCGTGTTCTGGGTGCGCAAGTGCTGATAAGGTAAAGGATTTAAAAGTATAGAAATTCGCGGATATTCTTTGTACATTTTCTTTTTTAAACGATATGAAAATTTTACCAGCCCTTATTATCGCGAAGACTCGAACCGGTAGGGTCACGCTCACGTGAATCGTCTTACCATTTTGCGGGTTACAGGCCGCATTGTTAAAGCACTTGCATTTGCCCTCGCAATCCTTGCCATAGGACTTGTCGTCGCACGGACGATCGCACAAGACACCGACCCATCCTGGCAAAATGTCACAGAGACGTATAATCTGCGTGTCGTACTTACCGATGTCGAATATCTTCTTCATCGGAAATACACATAGCAAGACTTTAATAAATAATTCTACTAAGGTTCTACAGACGAGCAATGTGGAAAACAGTATGAGAACTGTTAAAAGAAGCAACATCAACCATGCAGAAATATTATGCAGAATAATTGAGAAATAATATTGGTGAGACTTCAAAGAAAGAATAAATATAATTAAGAATAGAAAAATTTTGAATGAATCTAAAAGTTTTGTATGGTTCGCAGACATTGATTATTTTTCCTTTCTCGTAAATGCATCTAAGAAGATCTCCCTTAACCGAGTTCATAGTTACAAGCCGTCAAATGATCGTTCAAGTTGTATAAAATCAAGTTTACCATCCGTGCAGTTGCAGCGTCCGTTCTCAGCCGAGCAGCTGGCGCCGTTCTTGCAGGCGCACTTCTGCGCGCAGTCCTCCCCGAAGGTGTTCGCCGGGCACAGCTCGCCGCAGTCCTTGCCGCGATACCCGGCCGCGCAGATGCAAGTGCCGTCGATCGGCGAGCACTGCGCGTTGTTCTTGCAGTTGCAGCGATTCAGGCAATCCTTGCCGAATGTGTAGAAGGGACACGGCCTGGCGCACGTCTCGCCGTCCCATCCCGTCTTGCAGGAACAATCTCCGGTCCACGGATGACACAGCTCCGTGTTGTCGTTCTCGCACTCGCAGACCTGCGAATTGCGTAATTAAGTTTAATTTACGTTTAGTCGGGACATCGTGAAAGTGGCTCCAGAAGAGCGGTTTTCCAAGAAGATCGCGACTCACCTTCGCACAGTTGGGACCGTACAGATCGTTCTCGCAGACTCGTTTGTTGCACGTTTCGCCCGTCCAACCTGGACCGCATACACAGGTGCCGTTAGTGGGATCGCATGTAGCGCCGTTTTCACAGGTGCAGTTGCTCGTGCAGTTCAGGCCAAACGTGCCCTCGGGACAGATCTTCAGACACTGTTCGAACACGTTGAAGAGAAAAGAGAATATTAATTATTTCGATTTTAAAGTCGCGATTTTAACGCAATGAATCAGAATAATCGACTTTCACGTACTTTGTCGTCGTAATAACCCGGTTTGCACTGGCACTTGCCCGTAATGTGATGGCAACTGCCTTCGTTGTAGCAATCGCAGGTTCGAGAGCAGTTGTTGCCCCAGAAACCCTCCGGGCATCGATTCGCGCAGACTGAGCCCTTTAATAAATATCATATTGGCATGTAAAATTTATACATGTGTATCGCAGAATACGATTGCGCGAAATTCTCACGTACCGTCCAGCCGGTCGTACAGTAGCACTCGCCGGTCTTGGGGTTGCAGGATCCGCCGTTCTGACAACGGCACTCCGACTTGCATTCCTCGCCGTGCTTGCCCATCGGACACACATCGTCGCATCTGTACAATACAATAGGGATCATCAATGATCGTTAACGATCGACACGATTTTTCCACGAAAAAATTCTTCTTAGAATTCTTCATATAATTTTTCAATATTTCTATATAAATTTCAGTATTTTAGCAAATTTCTCAGATTTTTTTGTGACAAATTGAAACACTTTTTAGAAGTGCTGAGAAAATCTAACTTTTCTACAATTCTTAATATATGTGAATTCTAAAATATTCTAAGATTGTTACGTTAATTTTCAAAGAAAACTTTTTAAATCATATAAGAAGGTTTAAGATATTTTTTCAAAACTCTTCATAAATGGAAAATATGAAAAATTATTAAAAATATTATGAGATATTCTGAGAATTTTTTTGACTAGAGTTATTAACTGCTCTTGTTGACTAGCTATTTCTTTTAGAACAAAAATGTTCGAAAGGTTATTTTTCTTTTAGGAAATCTCTCGAAATACATGTAAAAGCAGATATTTCCAAGCAGTAAATGTAAACAAGAGCATAAATACGATAAATGCTGACGACACTCCCGGTAATCTACAACGAAATTAGGAACTCACAACGGTCCGGTGTAACCAGAGGCGCAATGACATTCGCCAGAGATGTGATGGCAGCTTCCACCGTTTCTGCAACGGCACTCCTCGGCGCAATCCTGCCCGTAGCGGTTCGGCAGACACTTCTGATCGCAGTACACGCCGGTCCAGCCCTTGGTACACATGCACTTGCCGTCGAACGGATCGCACGTGGCCCCGTTCCGGCACTTGCAATCCATCTCGCAATCTCTGCCCCATTTATTCACCTGGCACACTGTTCACATGCGAGAGTTAAAAATAAACTACCTCATGTATGTGTCGCTTAAACGAACTTTTTATCTTCGTTGGGAAGTCACCGTGTGCTTTTTCATCAGTTTTTTTAAATAATTCTCGATCGTATAATATTCCAGCAAAAAACTCAACGTAATTTTTTGGTAGAAATATGTATACAGTGCCGGCCAAAAATTTGGAAACACTTTAAAAAAATTGACATTTTTAGAATTATTTATAAAAATACAACAATGTAATTTTTTTTACAATAATTCTTCAGATCCAATAATATTATTTCATACAACGAAAAGCGTAGTTTGTTTTTGTTTCTATAGTTGTGCGTCATTATAGTTTATCTGCATTTCTGTCGGTATTTCCAAACATTTGGCCTGGAGTGTATTTACGTTAAACCTTCGTGAGACTTGCGCATTCCTAATTTTTTTCTTCCTAAACGCGAGGTGTCATTATCGTCAAACTAAATGTACAACGTCTTTAGGAGACGTTTTCGTTATCTCATACACATACGATATATCTCTCTTATCTGAATGTGTTACTTAGCACGTTATTACTCATGGGCATGACAGAGCTGTTGCGTCGCAGGGCGTAAAGACGTGTAATAAAAGGGTACTCGAGTCGCCGGACGAGATTGCCGTCCCCGCCGTTATTGTTAGTCGAATAGAAAGAAATGAGGCCGAAGATGCACTCACTGTAGTCGCATAACGGGCCGCCGTATCCCGACTCGCATTTGCAGACGTCAGGCGCGATACAGGTACCGTGGCGGCAATCCTTCGAGCAGACTGGAATGCAACGATCGCCGCTCGTGGTCGGCGTATAGCCTTTGCAGCATTCCTCCACCGGCCTTTGTTTCACCAATTCCTGCAAGAAACCGCGGGCAATTACCGGACCGATTCGTGCCGTTACACCGTTAATCATTATTTCACCGCAGTGTTTTTTTTCTCCGAGCTTTACTATCGTGACGCGACATTAAAGCAGGAAACGTAAAATATAGATCTTGGACCCCTTCGTGAAATTAGAAAGTATGTCGCGGAGACGCAGATTAGATAACCGACCTGTTCCTTGTAGACTGTACGGTAGACAACTTTGTATTTGGAACATCTCGGTGGGAAGCTGAAGCACCATGTGTTCTCTCGCACGGTGTAGGGTTGCTGCTCGGACACTTTCACTGTTATCGTATACCTGAAAAAATTCTCGTAAGTTCCACGGACGGTGTATGGTACGCGTTTAATGCTTTAAGATCTAGTGATACATATACATATGTACCAGTGTCTTAAAAAATCGTATCTATTTGGTAGATATTAAAGTATTCAGTCCAACAAGAGCCTGTTTTGTTAAAGAAAACTGTTTAAAGTTTAACTGAAAAATATTGTAATAAATGCAATATAAAAAATTATTTATACATAAGTAAGATTGGAAAATTCTCGGACTAACTAATTAAGGTTCGATACGTAATATTACTTTTGTATTGCGCGTAGTTTTCAAGCTTTTCATATTTCAGTGATATGAGAAATAGCTGTTGATTAATATTTGGAATGATTTTTACACCACAATTAAAGGTATTATTAATTTCATATTGTAAATTATTGACTGTTCTACGATTTATTAATATTTGAGAGAGATTGAGGTGATTATTTATTCAATATTTTCTAAAAATAATAAAAAATATAATTAAGGAGAAATAAAAAGAAAATAAACATGGATTTGAGATCAGAGAAGAAAGTTATTAATTGTGAATGAGCTTTATTTTCTCTCGCAAATGAGATGAAAAATCACCCAGGACAATTATTCCCGGGTCAACGATCAACTCGGTGCGAATGTAAATTCGCGATAAATTATTAGTTCAATTCTCGTGTGCTTACGTGTCCTGTCGGGTGCATATGTTTGGTCCCTCGAGGGCCGACGTCGCTCCCATCGAAATTATCGCGGCGGCGGCCGCGACCAGCCAGACTGCAGCAGACCCCATTCCGGCTGATCGATACAACTTTGAACTTCGTGTGCGAAACATCGCTATCGCCGTCCCATCGCGCGTTATCGCCGGCTGCTCGCGATCAAATCTCCCGCGTTTCGTGCAAAACGGCACCCGCGGATCGTGGCGGTTTTTTCGATCAGCGTTCGAATAGCAGCACGAGGGAGGTCAGATCCGTCTCCAGAAATCTGAAAGTAAAATGCGCCGCGTCGACGCGTTGTTAGCGTGTGTGCGATGTACGTGTGTATGTCGCAACGGCGCGCGATTTACCTCGCGAATTACCAACGACTGCAAAATGTACGCGAGTATATACCCGACACGCGATTCCTCGCGCACATCGTCGCCGCGCGGTGGCTATCGCACGTATATAGGAACGCTGCAGCGCATTCTACTGGACCTTACAACGCGCCTTTTAATCGCTCGGTCCGAGCACACAGGAAACCTACTGTCGCTCGAACTTTATACTCTGCACCGTCCGTTAATGAATCACAGCGAAGCCACTTCGCCACTTGCGGATCTTGATTCGACGTTAAATAAAGACTCGCGCGCCGAGTCGGGTTTCCGCTGTCGCGGGGTTGAACGCTATCGGATTCTCCGCTGTGTAACTTTAATGCGCTGCCATGATACTCGCTGATAACCAGCACTATCGAAGTTTCGCATAACACTTGTAAAAGATAAACATCATCCAATATTTTAAATCAAACAAAAATTTGTATAGGCTCTAAAGAACAAAAATATGATGGAGATAATAAAAAAGGGCTGACAGACCGAGCTGGTTTCGTTCGTGCTAATAAATATTTTAAATTAAGTAAGTAATTAAGATTAATGACATAGTAATAGCATAATAAAGTCGGTAGACGCTTCGACTTTTAATAACGTTCGTTTTTAGTGTTCTAATCGAGCGAAATAATCAAATTAAATATGTACGTTAAAATGCTAGATGTCGATACAAATTTGGAAATGCAACGTATAGTAAACCGATTAATACATCGATACATAAACAGCAATTTCGTCAAATTGCTCTTCATGTGTTATAAATTGTGGTCCAAACAATTGTGGTATATATAATAAAAGCTTCCATAATTGGTTGTCAAATTAGAAATCAAGTGATCGTTATGTACATATTGATAAAGAATGAATGACTAAATTGGATGAGTAATCGATGAAATGTGCTATCAAATAACAGGAATTACAAATCATGATAAAAAGACAATAAGTAAACAAAAAATATCCTATTTATAAATGTCCATAAATGGAAATTTTTTAAGCCAGAAATAGCTAGATAACAACATTAGAGTAAAACGTGTTCAAAACAGTATGATGTATGAGGTCATAGACTCGCTTAAGTAATATTTTATCACTATACACTTATGATAATGAAAATTCTATCCTATCGTGCACAACAAAATACACGCACAAAAGTCTCGTTGAGCAGGTAACGTATGATCAATAGTGAAAATTTTTTACGTGTTTAAACGTTTATAAAAAATAAGCAGCCAATATAAAATAGAATTTTTAGTGATATGAGTAACTAGATAATAATGTGAAGTAAAATATGCTCTATTCAACACGGGATCCGTGTGAATACAATTCTATTTTAATCATATGTGTATTACAGAACGTTTTACCATTATAATTTTGTGATAATGAAAATTCCACTGCACTGTGACGAACACGGTACGAAGAACAAGACGCACACAATTCCTCACGCAACGTTAATAAACGTGTTTATTAAACGTTCCATTGTTCGAATAAGAATGCGACAGCTCTATCGATCCGTGCGCTCTACATCGATTTGATAACGCGCGAAGAATGTATAATCGCTCCCTTGCGTGTCCCCGCGATATCGCAACCATGCAGAGGAATTCTTCATCATCGAGAATGCGAGTTTCTAACATAGGCTTCGAATGGGGTGTATAATTTCGTCGAACGAGGACGCGTATCGGTATCGCTGCGGATTTCGCTCGGAATACATATCGACGAGAGTTGCAGTTTTCGTCGATGAGCACAGAATTCCGCGAAGCCGGCCCGGTGAAAACCGGAGCGAAATTTCTCAATCGCGTGCCTTTATTACGACCGGAAATTGTGCCTGGCGAATCGAGTAAAGTACATGAATCAGAGGCTGCGCACGTGTCGAACATACGGTTCGCCTCACGGTTTTCGAGTCATATGACGTGACTCGTACGCTATGATTCACGTCGCAAGTCTAGGCGGCTCCCGCACTCAACGGCGACCGGAAGTGCCGTAACGTTACACCGATTAGAGCGATGCTCCAAGACGAATTTAATCGGCCGACCGCAACCGCGCGCGTCTCTCTGACGAAAACCTCGCGTCATTAGCACATTAGTGCTCTCTCTCTCTCACTTTTCCCCTCTCTCTCATTTCCCTTTCTTTTTGATATAACACGAGGGAACGGAATAAAACCACGCGATTTGTTACATCGCGCGGTAATTGTCCGCTCTCGCAGATTTTCATTCTGATAATTATTATAATCGGACTATGCATCCGCGCGGTGACTTTTTCTGGAGTGCGTGACACGCCCGGAAGAGACGCGGTTTTTCTCGGAGACGCGCGCGAGACGATACGGTTTCCTCCTCCGCGATACAAATCCCTCAACATTGTCGTCGTCGTTGTTGTCCTAATTAACGTCGGACGACGAGCAAACGAGCACACGTGTAACAGCGGGTAACTTTCGTGTCACCGACCAGTTGCGGCATTCTCGTACCTAAGCGAGACAACTGGCGAAAGAGGTGAACGTAACGTGAGTGATTGTTCGGAGGCAGACGAGACACAGATGCACACACATCCACCGAGAACAGAGCGGCCGTGTGCGTACATTCACGTACACGCGCATATGTGAATTCACGAGACCCATCTAATCGTGCGAGTCGCGTAACAGCCAGACCGTGGCTGATAGACGGAGTGATCGCACGAGTCTAAAATAACGATGTACGATAATGAAACGCGATTCTCGCGCCGATGCGTATACTCTTTTATTCACGCCCGCTATTTGCCTCGTGCCTTTTTTTTCAGAGCAGGAAAACTTTTTACGAGCGACGGCACGTGACGTAAATTTTCATTGATATCGTAAAACCGATAATATTTTACTTATCTACAGGATGGACCGAATCAGGCTGATACAAATGGAAAGAGGGTGATTCCATAGCTCAAACTAACAAGTTAAAATAATAGAATAAATTTTTCTCGAGTAAGATTTTGTTTTCAAGAAAAAAAAGACTCTGAAAACTTATTCTTGTATTTGAAGAATTAGCAGGGTAGAATGCAAGGGAAAGCTCATTCTAATTTATTCGCATGCAGAATATAATTTTATATACGAAAAAACGGCTAACATTTTGAATAATATTTCGACTAAATAAGCAAATTAATGTGTAAGAAATCAAATTATTCTTTGTCTCACGCAAATTCGCTTGTCTATCTTAAGAGTATCAGCTGATGGAATTAATTAGTTACGTTTAATTATTAATTACGTCAATCAGTCAATTTCACGCGTATTCGATTAACTTTTAAAGTCGTTTATCGATTTGTTTTATTTTATCGGATTTGTAATTTGCATGGTATAATGAGATATTGTAATTTTTCCAAATTACGGTTAAAGTAGAAACTATAGAAAAAAACTTCAGATAACGATATCTTCTTATTCACGTTAATTTTTTCTACTTACATTATGTATTATCTTATCAGTTCGTTCAATATCCTTATATTTATGTTTTAAAAGACAATACATTATCTATAAACAATTTTTGAACAGTTTTTTTCAAAAATAATAAAAACTTAGGCATGTAATTCTAAGATTGTGCTCCGATATTCACTGCAAGTACTGAAAATCTATAATATACGTTACGTGCACTATAGAATATCGGAACGCAGCCTAAGATAGAAAAATTTTATACATATAAATACCTACATTTGGATCTATATTCAATATACAATATATCGATATATTTTCACATTTATTATAAATACCATGGATATTTTCGAGCGTTGCTGAGAATTCGTTCTGCCACTTTCGCGCGACCGAATTCTACCGTGTGCTCGTTCCGCTGCGGCTGCCGAAGGGGGAGCGACCCCTTCGGCTTCGCGCGACCTCGAGGGGGGAGAATTAATTCGTTTACGTAGGAAAAAAAAAGAGTTCACGGACTTTGCGGCGTAGGTGTGCGAGCGTGCGCGCGTGTGTGCGGGCGCGAATCACAGGATGTGGGGCGAGTCCGCGATAAAAACGATACATCGAACTCTCTCTCCGTCCGCGGGATGTGTATCATTCTCTCGGGATCTCTCTTATCCGCTGCGCGAACAAAGGACCAGGCCTGTGGGTATCGGTCGCCTGCAGCGAAAGGACACGAGAGCTGTGATCGCGGAGAAAGCAACATTGAGATCTTGCGGGACAAGGACGTCGTGTTGGGCTGACATTTCATTCGTCGTATTGCTGACTTTTTGAAGCGTGTATTAATACGCTACGGAATGGAGAAGTTTCTCAAATTTTCTAGAAATTTTCGATACATAGATATGTATTCTACAGCCAGTCAATACACTTGGAAAATTTATTGTACGAGAAACGAAATGTTAGCCTTAAATACGGATAGAACAGGAAGAAAACACGCGGATATGCAAGAAACTCGACTCTCAATTTATTCGCAGAATTTTAAGTATTTCACTCGCGCGATAATAATTTTGGAGAAAGTGAAAACTGCTTCTGCTTTCAATTTCCAATTCTGCGAGTATAGTGTAATAATATCGCAGTTGCGAGAAACGTTGAATTTCAAACGTTCTCTTCGAGTGAACTGCCGAACATGTTCTATTATCTTTCGACTCGATTATATCTAGACATAACTTCCTTCCTGCAGAGAAGGAACTGCCTTTTCCCACTGATTTAAAAGCCGGCCGAAGGCATAGACGATTCGGCGTCGTATTTGATAATAATTAATTTGAATACCTCGCGCAAAATAAAATATTGACAATCCGGCCGATGAACTTCTCGGGTTTCTGCAGCTCCTCCTTGCGCTATCTAATCGCATGCGTTCTAACGTTTATACAACTGATAACGCCGTCGTTATCTCATTTCGCGGATTGGCACGATTGTATGATTGGCGCACGAAGACCCGACGTATCAATGAACATGGACGGAAAAAACGGGGCGCGTTCGCACGGTGCAATTAATGCTATATAGACA